TAGAGCATGGAGAAATAGTTAAGAGTAATGATTTAAACAAGAGCAGTTAGATAAGTGGGTATTAAATATTAGGTGGAAAACCAAAATAAAAAAGATTTAGAACTTTTAGCTAGGAAAATAAATAATATGAAGGTTCAAAAACTAAGTTATTATAGCATTGAATCTACTAGAGTATGTTTTAAAAAAAATTAAAATTCAAACTTTATAATATAATATTTGTTAATTTTTTCTACTTATATATAGTATTAATAATATTGAGTTCGATTGAACCTGTTACCTAAATATTGTCACTATCATGCATCTCTTTTCAACCAAATATTTTGATCCATTTTCTGTCTTGTTAATTGTTTGATTCACTTCAACGTTTTCTTTCCTTATTCCTTCCTATACAAACAAAGGCTTAAGATAACCAATAAAAAAATTGTGACAAATATCATATTAGGAAGCGTTTTCTTTTTTAATGTGTTTTACATGGTACGAGTTTGGATGTATCAGATATCAAGTGAGAAAATATATATATATATATAAAAACTAAGGCTTAACTTGCAATTAATTGACAAGGAAGATCTGAATTTCCGCTGACACGAAATTTAAAATGTAGTTAGCTTAATTAATTAGTTACATTAAAATAATTAAACTAATCTTTTGCTTAGAAAAATCATGTACTACATGCTTCTAGGTTATAATTAGCAGATCTATTAGATGAAAGTTAACTCCAAAAGTAAATAATTTACCACAAAATCAAACATAAATCATAAAATTCCATTGATTATTTTTTGAGTTTCCATTGTAGAAGTTGAAACTCATAGATAGTGATTAATCTTTAATTATCAGGGTAAAAAGTGACAATATGACACTACAACAAAAACACATCTAGTGGCAATAATAACATTTAACGATAATTGAGTTAATGTCACTGTATCTAGAGACGCTAAAGACTTTAGTGATATTCATATAGAGTGCTGATTATAAATATTCATATTTATTATTGTCGTTAAATATAATATAGAGACAATTATATTATTGCCACAAAATCCTGTACTTGTTGTAGTGTGAGTGTACGATCGAACATAAAGTCATCTAATAATCACGAGCAGATGTAGAAATAATTTATAATGGGAGCCACCTAAATCGAATGATAGTTAGCTGAACATCTTTTATTTGAAAATCATATTGTGTATATAAAAAAAAAATTATACGTATATATTAAATTTTGATCGTTATTAACGAAATTTCTAACTTTGTAATTGGTAAACAGGGGACTTGGGTCAAACAGAATGGACAGCCTCAACTTTAAAACATATAGGTGCAAAAGACTATGATGTACTATTGTTGCCTGGGGATTTATCCTATGCTGACACACAACAACCACTTTGGGACTCATTTGGTAGATTGGTTGAGCCTTATGCAAGTAAAAGGCCTTGGATGGTGACACATGGCAATCACGAAATCGAAACGTTCCCAATAATTTATCGTCATGGTTTCAAAGCTTATAACTCGAGATGGCTAATGCCATATCAAGAAAGTGGTTCCACATCGAACCTATACTACTCCTTTGACGTGGCAGGGTGCCATGTCATCATGTTGGGATCGTACGTGGACTTTGATGCCCAATCGGATCAATACATGTGGCTACAAGCTGACTTGGCAAAAGTCGATAGGGTGGTGACACCGTGGATTTTCGTGCTCGTCCACGTGCCGTGGTACAACTCTAATTTAGCTCATAAAGGGGAAGGTGAAAGTATGAGGAAATCAATGGAAGAATTGTTGTACAATGCTCGAGTAGATGTTGTCTTTGCGGGGCATGTTCATGCTTATGAACGTTTTGTAAGTATACTAAGCTACCTTCTTTGTGTATATATATTTATATACACAGATAGCGTAAAAAATCTTTATACTATTAAGTTTTTAAAAACTTGTTGTAGTTGGTTATCTGCCTTATGGAGGTGTTCAAACATAAAATAAATTGATTTTTTTCCCACTCATATAACTTGGTCAATCTTTTTTCCCAGATGAAATGCATGTCCAAACATAACTCATAAGTGTCATTTGCAAATATCTTTTCTTAATTTCACTTTTCAAATACCTTATTTTTGAAATTTCAACCTAAAAAGTATACTAATTTAAGGGTCGCTAATCTCATTTTCTTAATGAATAATTGCAACTAATTATCTTTTAGATGACTTAGATATATAATGTAAGCTTATTGCCAATCTATAGAAATTTAACTTAAGTCTCTTCTTCTCAAAATACAGTTAGATTTAAACAATTTCACTCTATTTATTTGGTATATATTGTAGACTAGGGTTTATGATAACAAGGCAGATCCATGTGGTCCTATTTATTTGACAATTGGAGATGGAGGAAACAGGGAAGGGCTTGCTATGATGTAAGTTCCTTGATTCTTATAGTATTATTATTTTCATAATTATTTACTTAACCAAAATATAGTTTCACCAAAAAAATTCAAGCAAGGTATATGTCGAAGTTTGTGTCCATCAATCTCATTTAAAATTTTAACATTTAGAGCGAACATACTGTTAAGAAGTCTCATATCGCTAGAGGGATGAAAATTTGGTCTCCTTATATGGACTTGGACAAACCTCTCCTCATGAACTAGCTTTTGGGGTTGAATCAGGCCCAGATTAGACCATGGCCCATCCCAAGTTGTTGTTCATCGATGTTGGGCCCCCATTTAGAAGTGTTCACGCTCCAGTTGATGAGATCTGGGCGTGTGGGGGAATGTTAAGAAGTTCCACATCGTTAGAGGGATGAAAATTTGGTCTCCTTATGTGGACTTGGACAAACCTTTCCTCATGAGCTAGCTTTTGAGATTAAGTTAGACCAAAGTGTCGTATCTTTACACGTACGTTTATTAGTTTTATCTTCAACACCACCACTACCTCACGGTTGCCAAATAGAATCATACCCGCACAGGAGGGGCATGCATGATGTTTTTTTTGTTGTTAATGGATGTCATCGGTGAGACTCCAAATCAGAACCCTCTGTCTATTTAAATACCATATTGAAGCATCTAGCTGTCTCACATAAAAATTAACTTAAATTGTCGATATAGATCACATTTTTAATTACTTAATTTCTTCTTCGACTAGCTAACATGTTTTTTTTTTTTGACATTTTGAAGCTTTGAAAACCCTAGCCCATCAATCTCAATGTTTAGAGAGGCAAGTTTTGGACATGGTAGATTGAAGGTACACAATGAGACACATGCACATTGGTCATGGCATAGGAACAATGAATCTAATAACACATTCATGGCTGATGAATTATGGCTTAAAAGTTTTGCTTCTTCTAAATCATGTTTGCCTCATGAGAAATTTCAAGAAATGAAGACTCATATAAAGGATGAACTCTAGCAAGGGCAATGAATCAAAATTGTTTGAAATTTTCAATTACCTTTTTTGGTAGCTCAATTTGATGTTTGTACACCATAATAATAGAACCATATTTTATAATATAAAACATCGGTATATATAGGTGGATAGAAAACATAAGTTAACCGTTTATATTTGAATTAATCCAGGGGCGGAGATAAGATTTATAATTACATGTAATTGGATAGAATTCAATAGTTATGATTAAACCCTTGTTTTTGTCTAAATTCTGTCACTTTAACTCAAATCTTAAATATGTGTTAAACGATTCACTAAAATTTTGTGTATTCTTTCTTTTACTCTTTTCTTTTTCAGCCAACATATTATTAAGAGATTACAAAAATACATTTATTAAAGTTCAATATTTCTCCCACATAGTTGATGGCTAAGAACAACAGATACAATTTGGATATATACAAACTCAAACATTGATGTGATCTAATATCATAATTTTTAAAATTTTGTCCTTTTGACACGTGACATTAAAGTTTCATTGTCAAATGAGTTTAAAGAAAGAGGACTATCTTTTTGTGGTCCAAAAAAAATATTTAGTTGGCAATGAATTTAAAGAACTACTACTAATTGAATGGTGAAGTGGTAGAGACAAAGTCCATGACTATCTCATTTCACTTTCATAGTGATTTAAACTTGGACGTAACGATTCTACTAAATTTTCATTTTATTTTTTCAGAATCGTTACGTTCAAGTTTAAATAAACTTGGACTTCCTCTTTAAAAGCGTAAGAAAGACCATAAATGAAAAATCTATCAATGAAGGTATGACAAAACAAACTAACAAAGAGTCATTGTCATTTCTTTGCCTAAGGTTTAGAGTATCACACAGCATGAAGAAATCAAGTTAAAATAATATTTTTGCAATATGTATGGAGATAAATTTAAAATTTAAAATTTATAAATTTTCAATTTTGAATCTTCTCATACATAACAATTAGAATCAATTGGATACATAACAATTAGAATCAATTGGACTATATGATTATCTTTAATGAAAAAACACTAAAAAGGTCAAGGTCAAATTTTAAAAACCCCAACACAAACTTTACCAAATACCAAATATAGTTCAAATTAGTAAAAACTATACCATAAAAACAACACTAGACATTTTTTTTAAAAAAAAACACAACTACAAAAACTACACCTCCAAATTTTACAATAGTCGATGAAAGAATTTGAGAAATATACATGAAATTTTTAGTACAAATTCTAATAAAATCTTTCATTATATTCAAATTTTGATAGACATAATTACTAATATCTCTCTGGATGAGACATGTAAATTAATTTAAAATAAGATCAACTAATTAAATTTGACAAAATAATTGGTTATATGGCAACTTTTGTTAATCAAATTGGCATGCAGAAAATAACAACAAACTTCTTGGTCCAAAATTCATCAAAGGCTAACGTGAATGTTAAAAAGTCCCACACCAAATATTATTAATTTGTCATCATTTGTTGATCAATTAAACCTTTTCTTCCCCTACTACTTTTCATGAATTATTTCAACCAATAACCCATGAAAGTAAATAATAATAATAATAAAATAGAGCGAAATTCAAGTCTTTTTTTAACAAAGCAAGCCATGTAACATAAATTATTTCCCAGACTAAAAGGATTAATACTAAAAAAGAAAATCGAAATATAAATATACATTTTACATTCACATAACTTTTTTGTGGAACCAAACAACCCCAATATTTTCCTTTTATTTCCAATTTGGTCCTAACCGAGAACCACCACCACTGCCATCATCATCATCACGACGATCTCATTCATTTTTGGCACCAAAGAAAAAGTCATCTAATCCAACGGCTAAGATTAGATCTTCTTCAATTTCTCAGCTTTGATCAATGGATTTGCCTTAGCTATAGCTTCTCTCCCCATTGACTTAAAATCAAATGTGCATGCATGAACCTCTGGATACCTATGGGTCCCACAGAAAATGGTCCCACACCTACACTTAAATCCCATTAACCCCATTTTCTTCTTACAAACCAAACACCTATTCGGCTGCGGTGTCACAAGTGGCACCGCAGCCTCCACTAAATCCGGCGTCAAAACAATCGGCTTGACTATCATTTTCTCCAACACCCTTTTTGTCGGAGAAAATAGACAGTCGATTGATTTTGCATCGGATTTTCGCTCTTCGATATCTCGATAACATTTGGAACAATAATTTTCGGTGGTAGAGTTGCCGAAAAAACCACAATTATTAGCACATAATTGGTGACGCCCACCTTCTGGGGATTGAAATTCGTGTTCTTCCGCCATAGAAATATTTTTTTTTCGATTGATTTTTTTATGAAAATAAATTATGGGTTTGTAATTAAAGCAAAAGGGTGTTGGAAAATTGAAGAAAAATGGAGAGAAAAATGAAAAAAAAAAAAGGTGAATGAAGAATCTTGAAAATAGGGAGAAGGATGATTTATAGAAAGAAGAGAAAAACAAAAGGGGGAATTTTAAAAATGAGAAGCATTGATGATAATATAATATATAGTAATAAAATAAATAAATATTAGAATGGACGGGCTGGAAGGGTCAACAAAGAGGTGTGGGAGAAATTATTAGGAGTTTTTTTTTAAAAATTATCCTATCTGGTATAGTGGTATTTTACGTTGAAGATAAAATGCTCTCTAACAAAGATATTTTATATTTCTCTGAATTCGAACATGAAAAATCAAATTAAAGATGAAAGAGTCATTTCCACACCATCAATAATATTCGTTGCTTATTATTTCTTCTGTTCACTTTTACTTGTCCATTTTGGATTTTGCACGTTTCTTGAGTTTGGAAAATAAGTAATTAATTTTGAGGATAAAGAATAAAAAATAAATAATTATTTTTCTTGTTAAAAGTGACAAATACAAATAAAAAATCTATTTTTAAAATAATGAACAAATAAAAATTAATAGAGCTAGGGAGTAGGAAAATTTTGAGGTAGACTTGCTAAAAAAATTATGAGGTCTCATACTTGAATTTTCCGCTCATATATTTGTCTTAAAAGATGAAATTATCCGATGTTTTCATTGTTGAAAGATAGTAATAAACATCACTGTTAAACAAAAATTCTTCTGTTTTATTTATAAGTTTTTTTATTTTTTTATGTGTGAAAATGACCATATATTTAAATAATATTGTAATGGAATAATATTATTTGTAAAATTTGATGGGGGCTAATTTGGACGGTTCTTAACTTCTTATAGTGGGGTTTGAGGGGGGGGGGACACATGGATAAGGATGTGTGGTGTGAGAGTAGAGGTGACAAGTTGGCAATTGGTTGAGTGTTGCCTTGTTGGTTAGGTGGTAGGTTAAGTTGATTAAGTTATTTGAATGAATTTGATTTTAATAATCTTTTTTGTGTGTACTTACTTTGCATGTTTGCTTAGGTGTATTGATAGTTTTGGGTCAATATTGTAACTCTCTAAATTAATTACTCAAAGACTAAATAAAGAAAAGATGTACAAGAAACAATGTATTGTTCTTGCACTTTTATGAGGGATGGACCTTTTCACATTTAACTTTGGTTTAATAGTAACCACATAAAAGAAAGCAAAATTATTTATGAACATGTATGATTGGACATAAATGGTTAGTATTAAACGAATAAAACCATGAAAATGTTTACTTTTGAGAATAAGGTATGAATACTTTGACAAATGATAACACAAGACTTTCAGTATTACACGAAAATAAAATTATAAAAATATTTATTTGTTAGAATAAAATACAGATACTTTGAGATGTGATAATACTCGTTCTACATACATTGTATGAGAGATGTTATGCTAAAGAAAGTCACATTATATTCATATTTTTGTTATTAGAAAGTACTTAATTTTGTCTAATATTAAATGCGATGAGAAAATAACGAGTATTCATTTAAAACTTAACTGGTCAGAGTGTCCAAACAGAAAAATAACAAGCATAAATGTGGCTAGCCAACTTAGGAATTCTTATGAAATATGTTAAACCATTGGGACTAAATAAAATCCATTTGAAAATATCATATATTGAAAAGGCGATCAAAATACAATAATATAATTTAGTTTAAGACAAAGTATGGGCTAAAAATGATTAAGAGCAATTATTAGCATCATATAATTATACTAAAGGAAAAGGGCAAGAAGTTGACACGACCAACTCTTCATTCTTAGCTAGCGTTTGGCCATAGATTTCTAAATTATAGGAACCACATATTATAAGTACTAAATAACATCCTATCCCTTCTAGTTTTCTATTTACCAAAAATCCCTTAAAAATGATGTTTGCGGGATACATAGCGTTGTGCACGGGATACATTAGATTTGATACATTCCACATAGCGGGATACATAGCGTTGTGCACGGGATACATTAGATTTGATACATTCCACATAGCGGGATACATAGCGTTGTGCACGGGATACATTAGATTTGATACATTCCACATAGCGGGATACATAGCGTTGTGCACGGGATACATTAGATTTGATACATTCCACATAGCGGGATACATAGCGTTGTGCACGGGATACATTAGATTTGATACATTCCACATAGCGGGATACATAGCGTTGTGCACGGGATACATTAGATTTGATACATTCCACATAGCGGGATACATAGCGTTGTGCACGGGATACATTAGATTTGATACATTCCACATAGCGGGATACATAGCGTTGTGCACGGGATACATTAGATTTGATACATTCCACATAGCGGGATACATAGCGTTGTGCACGGGATACATTAGATTTGATACATTCCACATAGCGGGATACATAGCGTTGTGCACGGGATACATTAGATTTGATACATTCCACATAGCGGGATACATAGCGTTGTGCACGGGATACATTAGATTTGATACATTCCACATAGCGGGATACATAGCGTTGTGCACGGGATACATTAGGTTTGATACATTCCACATAGCGGGATACATAGCGTTGTGCACGGGATACATTAGGTTTGATACATTCCACATAGCGGGATACATAGCGTTGTGCACGGGATACATTAGGTTTGATACATTCCACATAGCGGGATACATAGCGTTGTGCACGGGATACATTAGGTTTGATACATTCCACATAGCGGGATACATAGCGTTGTGCACGGGATACATTAGGTTTGATACATTCCACATAGCGGGATACATAGCGTTGTGCACGGGATACATTAGGTTTGATACATTCCACATAGCGGGATACATAGCGTTGTGCACGGGATACATTAGGTTTGATACATTCCACATAGCGGGATACATAGCGTTGTGCACGGGATACAT